GACCTCTTTATTACCTCTTTATTTCAACTTTATTACATCCCCATGGGTCGTGGTACTCTGAGAGCAACCAAAATATACAATTTCTATGGAAATTAGTTTGATTTTTCAGTTAGTGTATAGCTCAGATATCAATAGATAGAAGTATAATATAATAGTTGGTTTAAGAAATTCATAATAATCATTTTTTTTGTAATGATGGTTCTGGAAAAAACAAAATTGTTTTGCAGCACCTTCAAGCATCTGCAGACACAACAACAGAAGATAACAGTGATGCATCTTGGGTGGACAATTTAACTCCATTACAGAAGAAGCTTGTGTGAGTATTTGTTACCTTATTTACTAAAAACATAATACTATATTTTAAAATACATTCTATATTTGGCATGCTTTGGAAGACTTAACTTCAAAGCTTTTTCTAATGAATTTCTCATGCAAAATATTATATATTTTATTGATTCGTTTTTTTTAGTTGGTAAGAGTCAGTTTTATTAGTAGTATAACCCATAATAGTGGGATTGAGATTGAGGTCCATTTATGAATCTATATTGGCAATTAAACTGCTTGTAAATCATGGCTTTGTCTTTTTAAATAATAATTAAAAGCAGTGTCTATTTTCGGTAGACACATGTTGTTAATTACACTGAAATTACAATTTTGTTTGCATGTGTGTTATGCATGTGTGTTATGCATGTGTGTTATGCATGTGTGTTATGCATGTGTTTTATGCATGTGTTTTATGCATGTGTGTTATGCATGTGTGTTATGCATGTGTGTTATGCATGTGTGATATGCATGTGTGTTATGCATGTGTGTTATGCATGTGTGTTATGCATGTGTGTTATGCATGCGTGTTATGCATGTGTGTTATGCATGTGTGTTATGCATGTGTTTTTGGAGTTGCCAAAATACTCCTAATATTGTTTGTCATGTATTGAACTTTTTTTATGGAGTTAGGCTTACCATCTAGATTTTTATTTAATGTAAATAATGTTTGACGCCGAAAAATATATCAAATCTTAATTTGTGTTTTTCTCAATGCAATTTTATAAGTACTATCAGTACAAACTCTTGTCTGTTTTCTAGCCAATTGGAAATGATGTCAATTTGTGTTTTTCTCAATGCAATTTTATAAGTACTATCAGTACAAACTTTTGTCTGTTTTCTAGCCAATTGGAAATGATGTCAATTTGTGGTAAAACAAATAAATTATAGAAATTGTAGTTCAAATTTTAACAATATTTTTCCAAAGAGAATGTTGGCAGGAAGAAATATGTAAGCTTTTGTAGATAATGGTTCAGTATAGTCTTTCATACATTATATAAATATAATGTTATAACATCTTTTTGCATTTCTAAAACATGTTGATCTAAATATATACATTGACCACTTAAATTAACATTTTACCACAGAGGCTGCAGCTTAGCAGTGATTGCAGGATGTCTATATGGATTAAATTTTGCACCATGTCTATATGTGCAGAATAATGTAGATGGTGCAAGTACAAATGGTGAGTCATTCAACACTCGATACTAGATACCTCCTATTTAAAAAGTTTTCCAAACCAATGTTATTGGAGTCATAAGCAATCAGTTACATCACCATTCCATTTATTAGCATATTATGACACATCATAGTTCATTAAGTTTACCTTCTTGCCCACATTATTTTGCATTTTTTCCCCTTTATATTCTTCTTTCTGGAAATGAACCCTAATTATTGAGCAAACATTTTCTGTCTATTTTTGTCTCAATCTTTTGAAGGAAAGTGTAGACTATTTTGTGAATTTGTGATGAAAAGTAAGGACTGGTGGTGAAAAAGTGAACAGTCTATAATTGAGTCACAATAGAAAATGTAAAGACTAGTATTGCTAGCACAAATAAATCTGAGAAATGTATGTTTATACATATATACAAGTACCACATTGAATAAGACATTATGTGATGATTATTGTGTTTGAACACATTAACCATAGTTGAATACTGCTGATAAGGTGCATTCCAAAATGGTACAGTACCCCTAATTATAAAAATATATTGGGAACAAAAAATATTATTGAAAATTTCAGGAATTTGATAATTATGTCATCTACATTTTTATATTGTATCACAATTTCATCTTTAAAATCATTTGTATCATCATCGTTTACATACTCTCCATAGATGCCTGCATTCTATGTTTACCATTGATGCAACTATAAATACCAGTAATATTCAAATTAACCACTATACATCACAGTGAGGTTTAATACTATTTATTTCTGTGATTGTGTGAAATAAAGCAATGTTTATAATTGATAGTCATGGGATTTATGGTTTGAAAACCATTCATGTTTGAACAATTTGTGTTTCAATATTTTGTTTTTATCTCACAGGACTGGACTATGTTTTTGCCCATTTTTGTGGAATCTATATTACGGGCACAGGGTACTTTGTCATTTATTGTATTGCCAAGAAAAACAAACCAAACTTATTTCCAAGTTTAGTGTTACCAGCCATGATATCAGGGGCCATGTGGGCTGTAGCACAAACTGCTTGGTTTGTGGCTAATTTCACACTACAAGAGGCTGTCAGTTTCCCAATTATTACAACAGTAAGTTTATATATCCGATGACTACTTTGTATACTTTGAGTACTTTCCTGATTGCTATTATATATAAATACACTAACAATTCACCTCTACATAAAGTGCTATCAAATATCCATTTTGCCAGATAAATTCTTGGTGTAATTTGAGCTAGATATCACTACATTAACAGTGCAAATTTACTATATTGTTCATGTTTTTATTAACTGAGTATCTTCTATATGTTCAAAATAGAACAAACATATCTAATGTGACGTGTTCTGCATTCATCACCTCACCACTTTATTGCTGGCACATTTCAGTGTTTTGGAGTAATAGATGTTCATTACGAGCAAAAGAATGACTCTCGCATTAAACCACTTCTCTTAATAGCATTAAATCTTTTATTTTAGTGGAATTGTACACATATTGTACATATACATTGCCAGAAAATGTTTATATACATGTCTTTACGTTGCATTTTCAAAAAACATCCTTGTTAAAATAATGCATATAGGTTAAATGACTGATCAATGTACAGTATTATTGTATCAAATCCAAAGAGTTTCAGTTAAATATACATGTTCAGGGGAATTCCAGCTATAATTCTAGTGTGGAAGTGTGACAATCTAAACCCTTGTTTGAATAGGTACATAGCTCACTATCTGATATCTGATGATACTCACTTTGCATTGTTATTCAGGGTCCTGGAATTATTGCTGCCATATGGGGTGTGGTTGTTTTCAAAGAAATCCGTGGTAAACGGAACTTGATTATTTTAATGGTAGCATTTATTATCACCATATCAGGTGCTGTACTATCTGGATTATCAAAGCTTGATAACTTGTAACACATCATCAACTAAGATTAAAGACGTGATAATATATATAATGTCATGATGCAATTTGTGTTTATTATCATAACTTGTATTGTAAAGTGGAAGGATCGGGAGAAAATGCTTAAAGCGTGGGAGTCGTCACCTGCGCATGCGTCAGATGGCCATAACGTGTCATTGTTTACAAACAAGCGTCTACCCATGAGCCTTTGCGTTCTTAGCATGTGTTGTTATAATCGCTTGTGGCTCAATTCCCGCACATGCGCAGGTGACGACCCTCACGTTTGAATTTACACATAGAATCACGCTTTGCACTGTTTTCACAGAGATGATGAATCATTTGTTAGTTGCCAATGTTGCCGGCGTTTTGTAAAGTTGCATTTTGCTTCTTAGCATTATCAAATAATATTATGTTTTGGTCACTGAATTACATTATGTCGACTGCTATGTTAATAACTTTCTGTAATTCACATTATTGATGCTCAGCAATTAATTTTAAATTTCCTGTATATTATTAGTTTTCATATGAGTGATTGTCTGTCGTCATCCATAGAAAACTACAAACCTAACTGCTTTGATATTTGGTGTATATGTACCTAGGGAAGACCTTATTCATATTGATATTTTTTGTGAAAAAACTGAAAGTCTGATTGCTTTGATATTTTACATATAGGCACTACAGGTAGGCCTCTCTCAGATTTGTTCATTTCATAATTATATCTTTAATTCTCTAATTTTGATGAATATTTTTCTCATTTTTTGTAAAAATGAAATTTTTTTCGACTTCTTGTTGAAAACCGCAAATCTAATTGCTTTGATATTATACATATCTCATGTGGACCTCTCTCAGATTTGTTCATTTTGTAATGATTTCTTTAATTGAAATGTGCATTTCTAACAGCAGAGCTATCTTAGTCGAGAGGCTGCTAGTTCACATTCAAGTTTTATCGTCATCATGCAATTCAGTAATCCAGAATGTACGATACTTAATTCAACCACATCAAACAAAGGATTTTTGTAACTGACTGTTGTAATACAATTTGATATATCCAGTGACCAATGGTTCAGAATGTCAACAAACACCAATCTAAACAGAACCAATATGTGACAAATGCAACAACACTAACATATATATATATATATCTTCTATAAAATGTACACACCCAAAATTTTATATGGATTATTGTAATGAAACCTGGCCATATATATTCATTGTCTCTGAGACCTGCATACTGAGATCTACGTTGATTAGCTTGATAATCATGTCGGACATCCAACAAGGAGGAGTGTATGACTTGTATCGATCACTATAATATATGTGACCATTCCTTCCTAACTTAGTATGCTTGACAAACACACAGTGTTAAAGTTGTCTCTATTATTTATACAAGACACCTTATCATTATATACTAGTATTTGATTTGAACCCAAGAATGATAGGATACATGACATAACAACGTCAGAATTACGTCATACATTCCTAGTAAATCATTGATATCTACTTGAAATATTACTTATCTAATTAATTACTACTATGCTCTATACCATTAATATTACTATATGTTTTTTCATCTATATAACATGGTCTGATTTTGATATACACAATGTTAGACTCAATATATTTAGTTATTGAATCACCAATAATTGATATTTAGGTATCTGGATCTACCAGACATATGGTTTACTTGTGAAACTACTTGCCGCTGCTGTCACGTGTCTGTACGTGTGTCGTCTACATGTATTAACTCTTCCATGGGCACATCTTCACTCCAGTTAAAATAAATTCTGGTCCACTGTTGCCATGGCAACAAATAACAAACTGATTCTTAAATACTTTCGTGCCAAATGTCTCTACTCTAAATATCTTGGATTGAAAACCTCGGACATATCTTATTCTGTTCAGCTTGAGTCCAGGTCTAAGGTTACTATATGTTTTCATTACCGAGAATTTTGACCTCAAAGTTGGGGCAAAGAACGCTATACTCTCGGCAAATTTTCCGCCGCCGTTGTTGTTTTGAGAAATAACGATTTGCCATAATCACTCAAATAATTTGTGCTACGTATATTGTATAATGAATGACCGTATAATCTTAGATTCGACTAGCATCCGACATTGTTGCGTAAAAGAATGAGGTATGCTGCTTTACGCCGGTTTCTTGACGTTACGGCCACTCACGAACTAGGCAACTGACTAATCTATGTACCAATCAGCTGCTTATCCATGTTCTAAGACCTACTTTTATTTCGTTGCTCGAGCCGATTAGAAACCACCTGAAACTGAAACCAGTCATGAATGAGTATCATTATTGACTAATATACAAAATACGTCGGCAAGATGTATGGGGTTGCTTGGCGTGCACAAGCGGTTTGAGGAAATGTGACATAAAACGAAAGTTTCGCATCTTTTGTTTGGCGGTGTTGTAAGAAAACAACACATCTGAACTTTGACCTAGTGACTCTTCAACAATCAGGTTGGTTCCGTCCAATGACATGTATAAAGTGTGATTCCATTCTTAATTCTCCGTGTACATCAACTGAGTCCGGCTTCGATCGGAGATGAGTCTGTATGTATATATTTAGTTTAAATAATGGTATATATATTTACGAACACTGGGAAGCGGTTGTTGTTCGTCCAGTATATGGTCACCATCAAGTTAGCAGGTATATTTTAATGACTTTCTGCTGGTATTTAATGTCAATTGAATGCAAGACGCAGATACTAAAGGTGGCCAAGTGCAGTTGGCTTTCAATAACGCATGATCATGGCAAATAATGAAACACGAAACACATATATATTCGACGAACAACGTATAAGGAAGTAGACGTTATATACCTTCACTATGGTGCCAATGACACAAATAAATAATTAGCGGCGCTCTAAAAAAAAAAATATCAACTCCACTTCTCGCAATACCACGCTTTAAACCCGACAATAGCTGTGAACAACCTTTTATATTGTGTGCAGCTACATTAGCAAGAACATAACAAAATTGACCATAAAAAGTATACAAGACGCCATCTTGCTGACTCCAGTTTTGGCGTATTGTTCATTGAAACATTGCTTTCGTCACGTTACCAGTGTGCCGTTGTAAAAAATCAAGGCCATTCCACTATTACTTCTAGATATCTTATGATACATAGGCTACATACTTTTACTTTACATGGACGATATTCAATATATTCCGCTTTTGAGATCAATGAATCTACCAAATATGTGGGTTCAACTTCAACCCTGATGTTGAACAATTAAAGTAATTATAATCGACATAGTGATAATTATGGTTTATTCTTAGCATGTTATTGGACACAGTGGTTCAAAATTGTAAACATGAGGGGAACGGTAGTCACTGATCTGTATCCAAATCTTTTAAATGTATGTATAAACCCAAATCTTGTTCATTGGAAGACTGTGGATGGAAAGTACCACCAATCTACGAACACACAACAAATATCTTGGTATCTGAGTGATTGTATCTATACTGAAATAAAGGAACAGATCCTATGTGATGCGGTGGCAGTTCGATTCTGTTGTCCAGGTAATCATGGTATATGTGATTCAGTTGTTACTGTATGCTATCTGTTGGCTGGAAATACTTATATACACTCACTTTGTATTCGTCCCTCATGTGACATGCATGACACATAAATATTGATAAGCATGGCAATTAAGGTTATTATTCAACTTGAAAATAGATTTATAGTGCAAGTGTATTTCACTTACTTATACCCTTTCCTGGGCCAAAGCATTCGTACATCTTCAACTGAATGTTTAGTTGATATCAAGTGATGGACACAACACAACAAATTGTAATTTAATATTGGAATATTTTGCTAATTTACTTTAAATTTAACAGAGTTACTTAAGTACCATTATAATTGATTCTGTGGTTATCAACCACATAAACACTGATTTTTACTTTACATTACAACCAGTTTTGAAAAAAACGAAGTTGTTATACTTGTCTATACCAGACGCATCGGACTAGCACGAAAAACCTATATAGGAATTATTGTTTCCTTTCAGTCTATTTCAGTTGCCACGCAACTCAACAAGCATGTCACAACTTCACCCAAATGTGTTTGTAAGGAGACCACCATGTCGCCGTTCTGTAAATCATCCCCTCTCCAAAATCGCTGTGCCGCTACAGTTGCAATTTGTCTCGCAAATCACTACATGGATAGCCCTACTCTACAATGTAGACCTCATCTAAACCCAACCGTGTTTGAATCGAGGAATTAGTATTACTTTATAAAATTTATAAAGGAACCTATAACGAAAACACACAAGCTAACAAATTGACCAGTAAAACTACAACAAATGGGAAAAACAAAACAAAAACTAACAAACGTAAAAATAAATTTTAATCTTGAATATATGCACATTTTATACCTGTAAAAACAGGATTGTGTTTAGTTCAGGTTCTAGACAGGATTACAATATTTTTAACAATACTAGGATTCGTTGTCACTATGTATTATGAACATTCTATAGATCGAAAATAGTAGACGTTATATAAAGAATATATAATAAGATAGGAGGAATAGTTCCAAGAATATGTCCTGCTCAAACAGTTTTATATCCATACTTATTTTATATGCATACACTGTCCCATTATGTTTCAGGAGAGCATGGCGCAAAAACGTGCATGACAGAAGAGAATATTGCTGCTCATCCCATAAACGAAACAATAGAAATTTTCATACAAGAGGTTTGTGATTACCTTGCCCGTACCATCAAAGATGGAAGGGAAAGGTATACTAGTATTAAGGGAAAAATTTTGTCCGGCGTTGTCGTTGTTGTTGTCGTCGTCGTCGTTAATAATTGTTATTGTGTGCATAATAATTTTACTAGATCTATTCCAAACTTTTTCAAACTTGTTCACTTTATTCATCAGTATAAAGTCTTCCCTGAGTTTGAACAACAGATGTCTTGTAT